AAAAGATACATCGATAGAGCTTTAATTTATATATTGTGGATATTAATTAAAGCGGGGAAGGTTAAGCCAATGATTTTAAACTAAACTACATAAAGGCAAGTACCAATATTAATTATTGTAGTAAATTTATGGCAAGGTTTGTTTGAATATGTGATCTTTACACATATTTTAAATTTTTTTATTATTTTTATTATTTTTTATTAAATGTAGTTAAATATTTTTCTTGTGGAAATTAATATTATTATGAAAAAAATTATATTAAATTGCGAATTATTTCGGCAAATGCAGGTCACGGCTGAATTAACCGCAAAAAAATAACCGCAAATTGCGTAAATGAAAGTGCGTTTCCCTCTCGTTTAAATTAAATATTTTTCACAAGGTTCTTGAAGAGTGTGAACCACAGCTGAAATGTTAGAAAACTGTTTTAATTGCAATATTTGCACCATTTGCACCATTTGCACCATTTGCGAATTGCAGAATTGCAGGGGCAACTCCAACAAAAGGTTTAAGAAGCAGAAGATGCATACATAATTAACACTCTCTATAGTATAACAAAAGCCATTTGACACGAATGTATATAAGAAACTAAAATTTTAAATGGAGTTAAAATGTATCTTAAACATAAGGAGAAAAAAATTAAAAGAAACAATGCTTTTACCTCAAAAAAAAAATTAATAAACTTAAGAAAATACATTTATTCAAACTTATTATTTATATAGTGAATATAAATTCTAAAACTGTCAATAAAACTAAATATATCTGCATTACAATGAATTTTAAGTGTTTAGATATACACATCTGTAGTTGAATTTGGCTGTGAAAAGTATCGAATCAATAAGATATAAATACCCAATTTTATCTTTTCCATCAATCTTGATTGCTATTAAACATGTCAATACAAAATTTAATATCCACATTTAACATTTAATTTAATTGAACTTAAAGATAATTAATTTCATGTCGTATTATAGACATTAATTTTAATGGCACACTATTTGTACATTTTTTAAATACTCTTTTGTATTTAAAAACATAAATTTAGCACATTAAATATATTTATATAAGGTTGTGTATATCATCAACATATATGTGCTACTTGAACAAACTATTCAAAATTTTATTATAAGGCAGTACTAAATATTTTGCACAGCCCATTTATCAAGAAATTTAATTTATCTAAATTCTTGCTAAAAATGGAAATTTCACCGCTCGCAAGGAAAATTGAATTAATCAGATTTTTCTAAAAATCATCGAACAAAACAGCCTTCAACAATAGGAATCTGTTGTAAATCCAACAGAATCACTAAACTTATAAACCTAATTGAGGCTGATACCTGAATATACACCACGTCACCATTGCAATATAGGACGATTTATAGACTGATTTGAAAGTCTTTGATTTTATTTGAATTAAATGGCCTAGATTAATTAGAATAAGAATTAGCAATCTTTCAGATTTTAGCAAACCATAAAAGCTAGTTTGAAAGTCTTTAAAATCACTGAAATTAAATGGCCTAGATTAATTAGAATAAGAATTAGCAATCTTTCAGATTTTAGCAAACCATAAAAGCTAGTTTGAAAGTCTTTAAAATCACTAGAATTAAATGGCCTAGATTAAATAGAATAATAATTAGCAATATTACGGATTTAAGCACACCATAAAGACTAGATTGAAAGTCTTTGAGGTCATTTGGATTATATGAACTGAATTATGTACTAGATTATATGAACTATATTAACTGAACAAGTGCTTTAAAGGTGGCGTATTCCACCAAGTAGACTGTGCAGATACTGTCATAAAAATTAGGTGGAATCTATCAACCACTTTCTATATCTTCTTTCCGTTTCCTTGCCGATAGAAGTGGTGCAGGTTGACTTATTGGATCACATTAACATCATCTGAAAAACCACATATTTTAATAAAGATGGAACATAGAGTTACAATACAAATAACGGATAGAGTAGCTCACTTGCAATTTAAATATAATACAATTAGTAATAGATAATTCCGATTTGAAGTGTTAACACATTATGAGCGGGGCAGGTATTTGGACCCATTGCGAGGATTGTCACTTATAAGCGGGACAGGTACTAATACCCATTTAAAATAAGTAATTTTAAGTGACACAAGGGAAAAATAATGTTGTATCAAATATTTGACTACGTCTCATAGATCGTAAAATGATATAGAAAAAATTCCGTCCATCTATATTTTAACCAATAATATTCCTCGCAGCTACGTGTCTTCTGAACTAGCCGCTCATAATGTGTTAATATCCACTCGCAACCTAATCTAATCTACCAATGAACAAGTAATTTAAATACTAAAAATACCAATAACTCTACTTTATGGAAGAACTCTCTTTTGAAATCTCTTATCCAATAAAATAATTAAAAAAGTAATCAAATCTAGTACTTGATTTAAACAATTGTATGTATAATGTCTTTTTGTAAAGAATTGATATTTAAAATGGCTGAAATAATAAATCAAAAATATAGTCAAGTATTTAAAAAACTTTACAAGTTACAGAAATTATTAATTAATGAATTTAAGTTTTAACTGAAAATCTTTGTTATCTCAAGCCCGATCAACGATAGCATATGTGTCTTGATAGTATTATTATTCAATTTAATTGTCAATTACTGAGTATTTATATTCGACAGATATATATGTATCTTTCTAATGAATATTAATAGACTTGTATGTGCAAAGTACTACCAAATATTGTTCATTTTTTATAACAAAAAGACATATTTTTTTCACAATTATCGCTTGATCTCTACATACATGACTATCCGTAAATGCAACTTTATTTTGTTAATTAAATTTACCAAATTTGAATGTAAAGTTCAATGCATAACTGCATATTTAATCATTAGCTTAACTGAAACAAAAATTATTTAAAACAAATTCTACTA